GCCCCGGGACGTCGGGCTAGCGATTTTGCGAGCCCTGATATTTGTAAGTAGTTACATTATATTTTTGCTTTTCTGCTTTTCAGAGATTGTTGAAGCAGAGTGAGCTTTTCTCTACATCATGTCCCAGGACAAGAGTAGGTACCCCATAATGGGTGAGACCAACCCACTTCATAATGATGTCTATGGACCCCCTCAGCTAGGGTTCGGTGTGCCCCCCCCAAACTACAGCCAAGCCCCAGGGGGGCCCTACCCACCAGCAGCCGGATATGGGCAGCCCGGATACGGACAGCCCGGATACGGACAGCCTGGCTTTCCCCAGGCAGGCCCAGGCTTCGCTCCCGGTCCCTACCCTCAGATGCCCTATCCACAGGGACCGTACCCTCAGGGGCCATATCAGCAAGGACCTGCACAGCCAGGCTTTCCTGGAGACCCCATGGGTGAGTGGTTACACTAAAGATCATTAGAAAACTAATAGTGTATCTGCGTAAAGAGCTCTTAATGAGCAATAAGAGTCAAAAAGTAGTATATAAATGCCAGTCCACAGATCTAAATATTCACTCTGCTCGTACTTAGCTAACAAAATGACACATGACAGTCAAAATGTGCTAAAACATCATTTGTTCTGCCCTTTTTAATCCCAAATTATCATACTCTAATGTTTTCGTAGCACCACCTGTAGGTAGCCCTGGTTACCATGGTGACGGGCCTCCATCTTATTACGACAACGATGAGTTCACCAACTCCGGATTCGAGGACAAGAACATCCGACAAGCCTTCATCAGAAAAGTAGGTTCCTCGGTTTCTACCAGATGAATATAGAACATAACTGACGTGAACACACAATCCAACCAAAACAAGACCCCTAATCAAAGTAATTTAATTCCTCCTTATTTCCAGGTCTTCATGGTTCTCACTGTGCAGCTGCTGATCACTTTCTCCTTCGTTGCTGTCTTCACCTTTGTCGATGAAGCCAAGTTATTTGTGCGTAAGAATACGTGGACGTACTACGTGTCCTACGCAGTCTTCTTCGTGTCTTTGATTGTCCTCAGCTGCTGTGGTGACTTCCGCCGCAAGCACCCCTGGAATTTGGTTGCTCTGGTGAGAACTTTTCCAAACTCCTTCCACTCCTTTTACAGCTTAGACAGTTGTGAAAGCAGTGCTATGTATACATTCCATTCTGCAGCTGTATTTTTGGCTAGCTGCAGGCCTTGATTTCTGGAAATGGGCTGCTTGCTGCTGAGCTTTT